AGTCCCTACTTACCAAGGACAGTGCCCGGGTCACACTGCCTTGCACCACTCCTGCTTGGCCCACATGTGGATGCAGCATGCTGGGGCAGCAGTGGGCACCATAGAGATGCTCTGGCCAGATGCCAAAGCTCTGCTGGAGGTCTAAGCCCTGGCTTGCCTCAGGGCATGGTAGGGAACCGTCCGCTTCGCTGCTTCTCTCCTGTGTGTTTTTATTTGATACCTGGAAATCCAGGATTCAAATTTTGAGCCTCCACTGCAAATATACAGTGCAGGGAACATTCTTCTTTCTCAGCATGCCTCTTGTGGCACCTCAAACTGGTTTGAGATGCTGCAAGAGGCAAGTGCATGCTTGTCTGGACACATCCTTACTGGGTGTGTCTACATGAAACACTTAGACTAATCTAATGTGCAATAAAGTGTCACCACCTACATGTGTGCAGCCATTACTGGGCAGTAGATTAGTCTAACGCATCATTTTCCCATGCCTGTAGATGCAGGTACTAGAAATTGGTGCATTAAACTAATGCACCGAAGCACACATGTAGACATTGACTGGGAGCAAATTGTTGATGGTCAGCCTAGCTAGCAGGGGGCCACAGGGGCAGGGAGAGCTTGGCTGGATGCTGCCTGCCTGCCAACCATGTAGAGATTGGGAGCAGCCCCCATGCTCCCTACCAGTCCAGGGCTGGCACCTGGGGGAGCCTGGAGCTCCCCCAGCTGCTGCAGGTGGGCAGACCAGGGCAGAAGCAACTGTAGGCTGAACTGCTCCCATCAGGAGCAAGTTCAGCTGCGTATGGTGGCACGATTTAATGTGCCTGGATTTCCTCTGCAGAAAATTCAGGCACATTAATTGTATGTGTAGATGTACCCAGTGTGAATTGCCTTGCTCCTGTCTGACTTTGTTTGGTTTCTTATACTATTTTGAAAAGCTTTTCTACATTTGTCAAGTTGAATTGCTTTTAGCAGCGTTGTACAGTATATTAAAGCCATTGTGTCTTACCCCATTTCTCTTCCACTCACCTTCAGTTACATTATATTTGTAACGCTAAAAAATGTAGGCTTTTTGGGGAACATTAATAGCAGAATATTTTATTTCTCTTTAAGATTCAGTTGTGTGTCTTTTAAGCCAGAGCCCAAATCTCTTACTGGCTATGTTCCTCATATATTCTTGTAGCATACTGTTTGTGTTATGTCCCTTTGTGTGTCTGGAACTTTATGTAAAACTATTAATAAAGTCTGAGTAAAAGCTTTAAATTTTAATAGTATAGTAGTCTCTGTAAATCAAGCTCAATATCTAAGTCAATTATGTTTCTCAGATACTATCTATGGGGTTAAATCAATTTCATTTAGAACTTGCTAAAAGTGTACCTGATAATAAGTATTTAGAAAAATATGTGACTTTTATGACTAATAGTTATGAATTACCCATCACTTTAAACCTGATACTAATACTAATATCAGAACCACATCACTAGAATGAACTCTTAGCTTATGAAGCATTATCACTGCAGACATCTGGCAAATTGGTTGTTAACTTCTAACACAATTGATACATCTTTTATTATTGCAATATTCTCATTCAACAAAAGATTGCCCATTTCCCAGCAATGAACCATTTTAATGATTTTATGTAGAAATCTGGCTAATGAAAAGTAATGGTAGAGGACTTCTGAATCTAGTTCTTTATCCTATGGTCCAGCAGCATTCATTATGATAGCACAGAACACACGAGAATGTCATGCAGGTACAATACAGTCTTTTTATTATACGCTGTATTATAAATGGAGAAATGAAAAATTGTCCTAATATGATTAGATTTTCTTAGAATATTGTGATTGTCCAACAAATAGAAGCATTAGAATAATTTATTATTCCTATTATGTCTTGCAAATGCCTTACCTGAATCATTCATCTTTCCCTGTTACTGTTCTCTCTTGATTGGAGCACCTAAATGAGGAAATGAAAGCTCTTAGATTAAAGTTTCAAAATAATATTTCAGACCAGTAATATTTCCAACCTAAAGAGATGCATAAAATACTCATTCTTATTACCATTGCTTTATTATTTCTTCCCTGAGCATCAGCATGTAGCAATTAACAAATAAATAAGAAGGAACATAGTAATACAGAGAAATTACGATGCCAAATCAGATCTGTGATCCATTTAGTTCAGTATCTTGCCTGTTGGTAGCTAATATTAGAATATTAGGTGTTTCATAAAAAGATGCAGGAAACCTCTTAGTGCAATAACCTGATTGCTGGGGAGTTTTCTTCCTCAGACACATCACTAGTGGGTTTAGCTTGCATTCTGAAATATGAGTGTTTATATATCACTTGCCCATCTTGTCAGTTTTTTTACCCAATCTAATGTAACTGTGGTATCTAATTTTTCACATACTGTCTATCCCTTTTTCAATTTTACCAAACTATCAGTGATTTTTCATGGCAATAAGCCCCATTGATTAATTATAAATGGGATAAAAATATCGGTATTAAATGTGCTGGTTCTTAATTTCTTTGGTTGACCCTTTATTCATGTGCAAATACAGGTAGATATGAGCACCTGATCTTATATTTATGTATAACTAAGTGTTTTGTAGAGATATCAGGGCATTTCTTTTTTTATTCCTTAAAATGGATGAACTGATTAATTAGGATTCAAGGCTTAATCCAATAAAGATCTGAGATGTCTAGAACGTAGGCACTGTAGCATCTAGCATTTAGCTCTGGGCATGAAGTAAAATCCAGAAGCTTATGGTGGGGGTCTTGGCTCTCTGTGTAGCACACAGGAAGTCTGGCACTTTATCATGGGACCTTAAACACCCGGCACGCTGAGCAAGGGGTTTCCTATTGGCTGACTTTTAGAACAATATTTACACAGACCCTTGACAGACATTATAGATCATCGAAATTGTATCTGTGCTTTAATTTTAATGATACTGCTGTGGTTACATAATTAATTAATTCTTTAGGTAGTTTATGCATTCCTATATTGTATACTCATACTAAGGACTTGATCAGACTTTCCAGAAACCTCTGATGCCAATCCAGAGAACCAAATGCTATAGAATTTCTGAACTTTATTAGTGTTAAACATATTAAATATGTTGTGTAGGGGAGAAAGCTAGTTTATGGACCAGTAGGCACCACTCAGTCTTGGAAACTCTAATTAATTGTAAGCCAGGTGCTTTAAAGAAGATAAGACAACTCTTTGGTTAGGAACCAAATCTTTCTTGGAATATTAAATCTTTTCTAATGGAAAAGTTCCAAGGACCTACAAAGCACTGGTTTGAGGATTGAGCGATTGAGGATCTAATTTCTACCGTCTAGGTAAAGGCAAAAAATTTCAACAAATTCCTTTAAACTAACAGCTTTCAAAGTGTGATATTTTCCTTTCACATATGACCACAACACCTAGTCCTTTTACTGATGGTGGGAGTGCTGCTGATACTTTCCACTTTTTGCCTCACAGGTTTCTTCCTCATTCACTATATAGGGTATGTAAGCACCTAAATCTGGTCAAACCAAATTGTTCTTTTCAAGTGGAAAAGATCTACATAGGGATCCTATGTCCCTAGTCAGACTGAATTGCCTAATAAAGTGAAGCACCTAAGTTTTTGCAATTTCAAAGCCTAGGCATAGGCACCTATGGAACCCACTGGAGACCCAGCTCTTCAACTGATATAAATACATGCATTTATATAAGTAAGCACTCTGGCTAGTGGAATTCTAGTAGATTGCAGAGGCACCACATCTAATTTTGTCCCTTCGTATCATAATATTTCAAATATTTTCTCTCCTTAATAATCATTTCATCCAGTTGTAGCTGGCATTGGTACTGGCATGGCTCAGTGGTCTGCCATACCCAGGACATTCCATTCTGGTGTTAAAAAAGGACAGTTTTGCTACCTTGCCACCCCTTATTGTCATTGCTGTTGTCCTCATGTCAGGTGTTATTGATGTGTTGTCAGTGTTGAAGACTCAGGAACAGCAGTACCAGCAAAAGTCACAGCCAGGAGATTCCAACACCAGCATTGTCTTAAAGGATGACCACAAGCTCAGTTTGTGGCAAAGATTCAGCCAGGTTTATTGTTCACAAGCACAACCCTAGCACATTTTGGCCTAGCGAGTACATCAGACCAGCGGTTAACACATTTGTGTTTGTGACAAGTAGGCAGCACAATACCATGCAGACTCCCCTAGGCCACTACAAAGTTCCCACACGTTTCAACCCTCCTTTTATGCATGTTTAAAAAAATTACATATTATATTCCATCTGTCTCCTGAATATCTTAAACCGTCCTATATCATGCGTTTGTTTCATATCCTGATCTGGGTGTTCCTGTTCCAGCTTTATCATCCTGATACTGAATTATCCTACACCTTGTATAGCCATCTCACCTTCCCATCTCATGCCAGGAGCTCACATCTGGCCCCTGTGCCTAGTTTTGCTTAGGTAAGGAGTTCATGCATCAGTCAGGTTTGCCGATCAATCCTACTCTGGCCAGTGCTTTAGCAAAGCCTTTGTGTGAACATTATATACTGATCAGTGTTCCAGTGAGGCATACAACATTCCCCTCCTTTTTGGGAAAGCACAAATCATCCTGGAAAAGCACAATGTACAGACAGAAAGTAACCCAATGGGTTTAGACACTGGTTTGAGGTTACTTTGTTATACCCAACTATACATTCATTCCCCATTTGTGTACACTGGCCTGCACATTCTCTCACATGACCTGTAGTCAGTTTGTACCCAGTTGTTTGTCCCATAGGTTGGGTCTGGGAATGTTAAGTCCAGGACTTAAGTTGAGAGGAGTGGCCTGCCTATGGATATTTGGAACACTTTATCTATACAGTATGGATAAGACACTAATGAGGATACTAAATGATAATACTTGAGCCTAAATGTGCATACTATAAAATATGGAAACCTATGGAAACCACTGGAGACCCAGCTCTTCAATTGATATAAATACATGCATTTATATAAGTAAGCAATCTGGCCAGTGGAATTCTAGTAGATTGCAGAAGCACTCTAGTTTATTGCATACTATAAAATATATATTTATATAAAGAAAACGCATAGCCCCAAAGTTTGAAACCAGAGAAACCCAAATGTTCTCAGAGGTTATGTTCCCGCAGTTGTGTCTTTACATATCCTAGGTGGTATTTTAGTTAATGATAATTTAGTGTTGGGTTTTTTTGGCGCTCAGTTTCTCCAGTCTCCACATTTAGGCTTCTCTGGTATCAGAGCAGATTCACATCAAATCACTTCACTGGAGCAGGAGGCAATGCTAATTTTAGTCCTGCCTTGAATTTTCCAAGAAGAATTAATGAATTATGTAACCACAGCAGTATCATTAAAATTAAAGCACAGATACAATTTTGATGAACTGTAATGTCTGTCAAGGGTGTGTGTAAATACTGTTCTAAGGGTCAATGATTGTACATATTCACTAAAGTCCAGTGGTTCTGGTTAACAGTCCACTGTGAATAAATGAAAACCATTTTTGTAGCTCTGTTAGTCTTACTGGTTTGCACTGTTAGAGGAAGGAGAAAACGTTTGCTATACATAACCCAAGCGAATAACAACTAATGGATAATGTCTGGTTATGTTACACAATAATATAAAGTATAATGCAATAACATTGGTTAATGACTGAGTATTAGTGTTAGATAAGGTGAGTATTGTTGATTATTACAGTCTTAGTTATAGCTAAAGCTAATCCCTTTCCAGTCTAGTTTCACAATTTAATATTCTGGCATTGGTGATGCAGATAGCACATCCCAATTAGCACAAATAGTTATTCCTTGTATTACCATTAATACCACACTTAATGATCTGACTACTGGAAGTAAAGTGACATCTTCCAGGATGGCCCATCAAGATGTCTTTACTTCTTCTTGCACTTTTTCTGTGTCCTGGATTTGTTATTGTATGGGGTCAGCTATGGAAATTAAAGATTCTTTTGTATGTTTTACTAGGCCTTGTATATCTAGGTACAATTCATGATAGAGGGAAATAAGTTAATTATCAAATCCCTTGTATCATCAAAAAAAGTGATGAACTCAGAGTGCTTGCATTACTAGCTGGCAAGAAAGCATGAGTCCTGATTTGGATTGTACTTGTTATGTTCAGGCAGAATCCTTTCCAGTTTCCTGGACACGTTTCTTCCTGCATTATAAAATAAGAATGTCCCAAACCAGACACAATTTTTTTACTCATACTACCTTATTAATTAATTCTTTTTTTACCGCTCAGACCTAGGCCTTTTTTTGTACTATTGGCAGTGACGGAGGCACGGGATGCACAGATCCACTATCCATTGTTTTTTGAACAGCAAACTTGATTCTAACCCCATTCCTGTTATCAGGTGAACACTAGGGTAGTGCTGCACGTATACATTATTCAAAAAGACTACTGCACTGTTTGCATACTATACCTTTACTGAAGAATTATTCCATCTGGGGATTGCCATTAGAATTTTGATACCTCCCTCTTTGTATTGGGATGGGGTCTGGTCAAATTTAGCAAACCAGAAGTAATACCAGGTGATGTACCCTGCTTTTTGTTCATGGAGTCAGGCTATAATGGCTGTGCTTTTTAACAAATGAAGCCATTGTTGTGACTGCAGTTAGAATACATTTTGCTTAACCAGATCAACAACTTTACTTCCATACATTACACATGCTATAGCTAAAAGATATCATTTTTTTAACTATTGATAATGGATACAAATGTGCTGAACTCTCTGTCCAGAGTTTTCATGTTATAGCATGTGTGTCATTCAGACAGGATGCGTTAGCCAATCCATTTGGGTTTTTTTGCTTGCAATGATCAAGACCAAAGGTTCCATCTTTTAAGTAATGTTGTTTCCTATAAAAACAAAACAAGATATTGCCTCTCCCTTTTTAAAAAAAATATATAGATACCTATATGCATAATAG